GGGGGGGGGGGGGGGGGGGGGGGGGGGGGGGGGGGGGGGGGGTCCATCTCACCTTGGCGGGTAGAGCTTGTTCGCCGTGTCTTGCTGTCATTGTTTTGTTTGCTGCAATGGCGAAAAGTGCTGGTGAAGAGATTTCTCGGAAAGTAGAGCGCCTTCGGTCCAGAGTGTTGCACAGGCATTGGTGCTGTTGTCCTTGTCTGTTTTGGACTGCGGGAGGCTGGCAGGCCGCTTGTTTTGGTACCACGGCCGTGCGATGTTTGGACTTGCCTGATGGAACGCGCCACCGAATGTGGAGCTACAAGTAGATGGGTCACCCCCGTGCTGCGTATCTAGTTTGGACCTGCGGTACGCTCGGTGCTTCGTGCCTCTTGCTTCCTCGAGTATCGTCGCAAGGTCGCAAGGTACGCTTCTGTCTCCGACACAACCCCTCGTTCAGGCCACAACAGCACTATGCTGTGTCCTCAGTTCCATCCGCACCTCACCTCTACGTATGTATACGCCCCTCCCACATGCACACCGTCGATGGTCGAGCAGATCCACGGACTCCTTCAGAGGGCTACCCGTCTGGCGTTTGTCTTGTCCGGGCCCCCGCCGGCGCACGCCTCGTCGTTGAGCAACCCTCTCGTGGCGGCGGCTTTGCCCAACAGCACGCATCTGCTGGCCGGCTGGGCGTTGCTTGACGGATGGGTCAAGCTCTATCCTTCGGAGGATAAGGTAAGTGTTGTGTCGTGTGTATACGCTCCGTATGTCAGCGGAGGTGACCGGATGGGTCAAGCTCTATCCTTCGGAGGATAAGGTAAGTGTTGTGTCGTGTGTATACGCTCCGTATGTCAGCGGAGGTGACCGGACCGGCTCGACGGGTTCAAGACTGAGGTTAATAGTGCTGGAGAGTTCGGTGTGATTCTCGAAGGTGCAAGGCTACTTTGTGGTGTAGAGAAGCAGAATAGGTACTGGTACTGGGCTGGCCTACTCGTTGTTACGACTGTCGTACAGTAAACAGGGGGTGACTTTGAAGGTTATGGCCCTGTTTCATTACCCTTTGAGTGAGCGCCTTTCTTGCTGTTGTTCCGCTATGGCTTTTGTCGGCCACCGTTCGTTCAACCATGGGCACTAGGCAACCCACAAGAGGCACCATCGAAGGGGAGGGGGGCGGCGGCACGCGAGGGTCACGGGGCGAAACGCCTTCAGCTCCATCGGGCAGGTAAGCTTGGTCATTTTTTTTTGTGTACCGCTTTTTTGTTGCATGTGTTGTGGGCGACGGTCTACGCCTTTCTGTAGTATGTTTGACGTACCAGCCGGTTGCACAGGGAGGTTTCACTATTACAATTCAGTAGGCTCAGCTCTACGCTTCTTTTGGCGTTGACGGTTGCGGAGAAGTAAAAATATGTTAACGGGATGTGTTGGTAGTAATTTTCAGTCTGATGCATGTCGTTGGTATGATGCCTGTCTACTCTTTGACCTACGTTCAGGCGCGACTGGTTGGTTTCGGCAATATGCTTTGCTGTTGATTTCACGTAGAGGTATATATTGATCGTGCAACCCGTGTTGTCGTTTTCTTTGTCGTTTTCTCTTGCTTTTGGTGAGTCACGTAACATACACAAAAACAATACCGCTTGAACGCAGGCCATCGCGAAGCGTGCGTCCCGCTCCAACTCCCCTCCCGCCGAGAGGACGGCGTCCGTCAAGAGCCCCCGGAGCCCGACCACCGTCACCGACACCGACTCGCTGACGCCGCAGGTGTCCGTTGCAGGGATTCCCCCTACGACGAGGAGGCCTTCCTTCAAGCTCAACACTCTAGAGGGGAGCGCAGGGCTCGACGCCACCGCTGCAGCAGCAGCCGCCGCCGCTACCGCCAACAACGGAGGCGGAAAATCATCGGGGGCCAGAGCAGGGTCTGCTGCTGCAGCCGCCGGCGGTGGGCGGGCCCCCCCCGGGGGGGGTGTAGGGGGCGACGGCGCGGGTGCCGATGAGAACGGCGCTTCTCAGACGAGAGACATGGTCCTGGTGACCCCGTCAGCGGGGACGGGGGGACACCACCACGACCCGGCTCTGCTCGCGGCCTCGGAGCTGGCGGGAGTGGCGGCGGATGACCGGATGCACCGGAGGAAGTTCTCGAGGGACTCCGCCGCCGGCAGCGCCGTCGGGGGCCCGCGGAGGGTGTCGGCGGCGACCGCGGCGGCGATGGCGGCTGGGCGCGAGGGCCGGGTCGTAGACTTCACAGGATTCTCGTGAGTGGGCGCGCGCGTGGAGGGATATGGGGTTGCGGTTTTTGCCTAAGTTTGGTGGTGTCGGAGCGGTTGCTTCTGGCGCGTGTAGTTGGGCGTTTTGATGAGATATGGAGTGGTAGGTGATGGCTATGGTGGAGGGGATTTGGTGCGGGAACCATGCCATGTCGATATCTACATAGCGGTATGTGCTTGAGCGTCTGTGTCTCGGGGCACGGTCAACACGCTTGAGAGGAGAGTGCAGCCGGGGCGCGAAAGAGCTGAGCATATCTTGTCTTATCTCTCCCCACACACCCCACCCTCCGTGCTCGCCTTGCAACTGTTCCGTGTGTTGCCACGCGCATTGACTGCAGCGAGATGTCTCTCATGGCCCCCCTGGCCAAGCCCATGGTTCCCCAATCGCACAGCTCAGTGATGTCGCTCGCGAGATCGTCATCTCTGGAGGGGAGCACGATCAGCGACCACCTACGCTCCGAGGGTCCCGGCGCGGATACGTGGGCCGGCGGAGGCGGCAATCGCAGGGACGGCGGCGGGGCGGGGCAGGTGCGACTTGAGCTGCTAAATATTTCACCCATACTTGTTGTCTTGAACGACTCGTGCGTACTCGAGCCAAGAGGTCACTGCGAGGCACAATATTTATGCACAGTCTTTCACTTTCTCCGCCACGGATGAAAAACACAAGAACTTTGGAAGTATGTTTTCTCGAAATTCCTTCCCGATTGGCGACGAATCCCCCCCGCCCCCCGACTCACGGTTTGCTGTCTTGTTGCCATGACTGTTTTTCCTTTCGTCTCGTCTCGCAGGCCCGCCCACGCCACGAGCGCAAGCGGTCGGAAGGTTCTGGCTTCGAATGGGCGAGCAGGTGGACAGACATCTCCCGGGAGGAGAAGGGCAAGTGGCTCATACAGGAGTACGGAAAGGTGCGTGTGTGCGTGTCCGTCTTTTCTGGTCCTTGTTGGTCTATATATTGGGCTATATGGGGCTAGCCGCACTACACCCGACGTAGCGGACTGCCCGTGTCGCGTTTTTTTTGTGACTGTTGACGTTCTGTTTCGTTTGGTCTCCTCAACCGCGTGTTTTCCATGCTCTGTGCACCGCTTTATGCTCCGGTCTTATTGCGGTCTACGCAGGGTGTTGGGCTGACTTACTGCGTCAGGTCACACAATAGGTGGGACTAGTACGGCATGATAAGGTTTTTCCTTTCCCTCCGTGTGTACTGTTTCAAACATAAGTCCGGTTTGTGGAGTTTACATGTCAGTGTCAAGGGTCAATTTCGATCCATGCCGCCGTTTCCGACCGCTACACTTCACTACACTTGATTTTGACCCCACACCAACACCAACGTGCTGCCCTGCCTGGAATGATACGGGGCATGGCGGACTATCCTTGGAGGACCAAATGTCCACAAGCGCGATTTGATTCTTTGCAGCAGTGGTTTGCCATTGCTCTCACAGCCTTCGTTTATGCCCATGCTGTACTTTGAACCGCCATGTGTCGTACGAACAAACAGGTGCTGTCGGACAAGAAGGAAGAGTCCGGGACGCAGGGCCGCGCAAGGGGGGCGGCAGATGGCGGCAGACACCCCTCTCGCCGGGGAGAAGTTCCGGACGTGAACGTCGGTGAGTTTTTTTTTTTTGCTTTGTTGCATGCGAGGCTGCGAAGCATGACGGACGGCTACGCCGGGGCATGCATTCGATGCACTGGCTAGGTTCGAGACCTAGATAGGCGAACGCGGCTGTCATGCTTGTCTTGTCTGGTCTTTTCTCCTTTCCTCGCGTGTCTTGTCCTCTCCTGTCTTCTCCCCGCCGGGTTGCTGTCCGCACCAGTTGCGCGGTTTCGTCGATCGATGATGCGGCAGCTCTCCCTCGTTTCCAGCCGCTGGACGGCGACGCCACGGATTCGGCTACGAGCTGTTGTATCCGCATCCACTTCGTTGCTTGGGCTTCACAGCGTATGTAACGGAGTGACTCGGCTGCTGTGTGAGCGTTCATTTAAAACCCTACCTCCGCCTGTACGCACCTACCGTATTCGTGTGCAGGCGTGGGGCCTGTGTCCGAGGACGATCTCAGCAGATCCCCGTACCCAGCAGGAGCCAGGGGTCGGCGGAGCAGTCGAAACATCCACCGCACCACCCTCAGCCGGACGATGGGGGGCACCAGCAGGAGGCGAGTTAGTCTTGCTGCCTTGGCGTCCGCGGTGTGGTGTGTCGCACGGTGTGTGTCTGTACTGCTGCACTGGCTGGTATCTGTGTCGATTGCGCTGAACGCCGGCCGGGTCAGGGCAGGCTTAAGTTTCGGTAAGACGGCAATATAGCATTAAGAGATTAAGAGCAATGTGTTGAAGTGTTTGGGGCGTTGTGTTGTGGTGTCGGCATGAGGAGTGAGCGGGGGACTCGTATCGTCGCGTGAGGCGGCTGCAGGTGAGGCGATTTGTTGTGCGAGCCGCTTGTCGTGCAATGGTGGGGGGGTCTATTCTGGTTTGTGTTGCGGTGATCACATTGCATCATTCGCCAACAAGATCAAGCGACTTTTGCATAGCCTGACGGTCACTGACAAACCATTTGTCGCTAGTCCTTTCTTGGCGCATGATTTCGTTGCTAGCTGACAGCTGCTGTGTGGAGTGCGTGCGTGTTTTTTGTGTTTTCGAAGCGATTCCTGTAAGAATACCACTGGCCACACACACCCCGACTTAATCCCATCCTACGTGTTGATGTCGTTCCTTCTCTTCAATCCTTTCTTTCGTTCTTGTTCTTTATTCTTTTGTTTCTTTCTGTCGTTCCTTCTTTCATTCGTTCATTTTCCCTTTTTCTTTTTGGTTCATTCTTTCTTTATTTTTTGGTTCTTTCTGCAGCCCTCCTTCGCGAGAGGAGGACCCCCCGGGAGATAACCGTGCACGGTCGGCTACGGTGGCCACCCCCGCGGATCATGTGCGTTTCCCGGAGAGCTGATAGGCTTGGATTCTTGAACATCTGTATTTTGCCTTTCCCTGTACATGTCTCCCCCGGTGTTTGCCATCGGGGTTGGGTTTTCGTCGCTTGGCAACGACGTTGTAAAACAAGCCGCCCCCCCCGGTGTTTGCCATCGGGATTGGGTTTTCGTCGCTTGGCAACGACGTTGTAAAACAAGCCAATTCACTTCGTGAACTCGGCAACCAGGTTACCGTTTTTTTTTTACCTTCGGTTTTTTGTTGGCAGTAACCATAGTGGTGGTCGAGTAGATCATGTTGTGCGGGGTGGAGAACCCTCACTCCGCGCAAGGGGGATGATCGCACCACGTTGTGTTAAAATGGTCAAGCACCCTCGAGGCAGTTACACAGTGCTTACAACTGTCTCTGGAAGTGAAAGCACCAGAAAATAAATTAAGTCATACGCAGCTGTCATCCGTACGCAAGGAAGTAAGCACAAGATGCCGAACACCCTTAGCAGGATGCAGCGCACCCTTCATGCGACTCCGCGAATACCTCACGGCGCTTCGCGCTTGGTGATGTGAGAGCCTGGTCGGGTGAGAACCCGG